AGTGAAAGTACAGGGAGTCAAAATGCTACAGTAGATATACCTGATGTCATAAATAACATAACAGGATCCTTGTATAATCTGATAAATCCAAAAAACTTAATAAAAATGCAATTAACTATTGAAAAACGATTAATATTATGATTAAGCGTTTTTCAATAATTACTGAGTTTTATGAATTTTCCAATTTTCTAGATTTTACAGGGATTCTGTTGTAATTTTATGACACCAAGTAAGCTAACTGATGAATATAGACTAATATTGACCTTTTCCAGAACTTAAATTTTATGTTCATTCTAAGACGTAATATCCCTTTAACAATAAAAACAAATATAAATTTGAATAATAAGCATAAGCTAGTCTAGAATTTAGGTTGACCAGGCCTATTTTAAATAGTAAATTACAAAATGATTTAATTCTAATAAACAATACAACTTTTCAAATTAAGCTATCCATTTACTAAATAAAGTCTTATCAGAATAAATTTCATTATTTAACATTTTCTGTAGGCTACAGTACTGGTAGTGAACACCTGTTATAACCTAATTATAAACCAGTTTCGAGCAGCATTAAAAAAATTCCTATTTTGCAACAGATTGGAATATTTTTTTCAACTCCAACTGTACGTAAATATTGATAGTAATCGCTTTTAATTTGATGCCAAGAGTAGCTAGACGAGTAAACCCTGTCAGCTCACTGTCGTCACTGACAAATCACGTAGTCTTCTCAACTCAACACGACTGTCACTGTCACTAAAAGTTTACTTACCCGAAAAAGGTCACTCTCATCTCGTCTTATTTTAACAATCCAATCCTTGTGTGTCTTTTCATCTTTTGGGATGTTATATACAGGTTCTCTTGCGCCTTTTATTAGAGTAGGCATAGTAGTTGCCCCAGTGGCTTTTCGTTTTCTACCGTAAGGAACCATAATTAGAATTAATAACGAAAAATAAATACTATTTTAAAATGAAACAAAAACGGATTTTACTTGAACTGCAAGGACAATGTGGTTTCATTATTCTGAATGAAGGAAAAGGGTATAGAAGTAGACACTCCACGCTGCGTGGAGACGCCCGACGGCAGATACTGAAATGGAAAAAGTAGTAGCTGAAACAAAAAGTGAGATGAGACAGTAGGTTAAGGTAATACAATACGAAACTACTGTCTGAAAATGGCTCAAGCGAAGAGGGCTGGGCTGACTCTCCAAAGCACTCGCACAGGCATCATTATTTTTCTTACCATGAGGAGGATTTGAACCCATGCACATAGCAGACGACAATCCATCTTGCTTCCGATTGAGCTATTCCACTGTCTTAGCAGACAACAATCTAACTTACTACTGACTGAGTTAATCTAAGATGAAATTTGATGATAATATTCAGAATAAAGTCGAAAATATCATTATGTCGAATTTTAGTTGACCAAAAGTTAAAATCGTGAAGAGGTACATAGTGTCATAGGCCTAACTGAAGTAGCTACAAAACTAAATAAGCGACGAAAAATTCGGATAATCGAATTGTTAGAAATGAATTCGTTTAATACTTTAACAATTCGTAGGATTTAGAATTGTTTTCTTACCTTTCAATAAACATGTCGTATGATATAAAGAAATATCGAAGCTGTATTCCAAAATTTCAGATAGCTGGTCGCCATATTGAAAAGTAAAAAAATGATGTCATTGTGCCACCAAAAGTCAGTGGTAACTTCCAAATATGGTAATAAAAGGTCAAAGGTGAACAATTGATTATCCATATACCGGGCCTAATGAAAAGTAGTGTAAAATTTTGTCAGGTGATGGGGCCAGCAAGGTCAAGCCCATGTTAAGTCAATAGGAAAATTATACAGATTCCCAAGGTCATTGGAGTCTTTTTTTTTTTTTTTTTTTTTTTTTTCAAAATATGCATAAAGTATGTATAAAGTTATTTCAAGTTTAAAAAAATCACACATTACATTAATATTTGTCTGATTTCATACATTAACTTTGGAATTTGCAAATATCTTAGAAATAGTAAAAATAAATTATTTACATCAATGTTTTTATGTGTGATCATTGTTGATAATCGCGTCTATTTATATACTCTCTGTTATCAAGTCTTTTTATTCCGATGAAAAACGACGATAGGAATTTTGTCTTAACACTTTGAAAATAAATCAAAAAAGGAATTTTACTGCTGTTTTTACTAATATCCAG